GCGCTGGAGACGTGCCCGGAGAGGAGAGACCCGTCGGGCGAGGACGGCCGCTGGAGGTTTACTGCCAAATCCATTAATAGTTAAATGCAGCGGAAGTAGTGGAGAGAGCTGCTAAGTGGCTCAGTGACCGTTAAGTAGTGTTTGTGAGATCAAAAGCTTCAGATAGCGTCTGGCACGTAGAATCCGTTCACGGGATCAACTGGAAGCCCTGATGACTCACTGTTTCACGAGGGTAACAGGTCAGATCAGTTAGCTCGTTACAGCGCTGTGGTGCTCTTAAGACGCTGTGGGAGAGCAGAGAGAGAATGCCTGCTGTTCCCGAGGAGGGTGGGCAGGCGTCCCCCGTCACCGAGGAGGTGACTTGACTTTGGGGTACATGCACTTTTCTCAGCTCTTCCCCAGAACTTCGTGAGACAGTGATCCTCAAATTTTTGGTATCAGGACTCTATTATGCTCTTCAAATTGGAGGATCCTAAAGATCTTTTGTTTATGTGGGTTGTCTATCGACATTGGTATCAATAGATATCTACAAAACTGAGAAATTTTACAAATAGTTCGTTAAAAAGTAACCATGATGTCGTTACATGTTAACATAAATAACGTTTTATGAAAAATAACTTGTTCCAAAAAAAAATTAAGAGTGTCATTGTTTTACATTTTTGCAGATCCTTTAATGTCTGGCTTAGTAGGTAAGAGAATTACCTGCTTCTGCATTGTCTATTGTGATAAATTATTTTGGTTGGAAGATAGAAAGAAAATCTACTCTCATGTAGAGAATATTAGAAAAAGGAGGACCTGGGGGTCTCTCTGAATAGGTCAGGAGCTATAGTTTTATTATAACAGCCTCTTAAACTTTAATGTGCAAATGAATCACTTAAGGATGTTGTTAAAATACAGATTCAGGTTCACTGGGTGTGGGGTGAGGGCCGAGACTCTGTTTATAACCAGCTTCCAGTGTTGCTGAAGGTGTTGGTGGAGACTCTGTCTCTTATAATGTAAACAACAGGAAATGTAGGGAAACAATAGCCAATTTATTCAGGACTTTATAGAGGAAAAGGGCCAGTTTATTCATTACAGGTTCCTTGGTCTTTAAAGAAAGAAATGGATGGGGGCTGGCCCCATGGCTTGGCGGTTAAGTGCGCGCTCTGCTACTGGTGGCCCTGGTTCGGATCCTGGGCGCACACTGACGCACTGCTTCTCCGGCCATGCTGAGGCCGCGTCCCACATACAGCAACCAGAAGGATGTGCAACTATCACATACAACTACCTACTGGGGCTTTGGGGAGAAAAGGAGGAGGATTGGCAATAGATGTTAGCTCAGAGCCGGTCTTCCTCAGCAAAAAGAGGAGGATTAGAATGGATGTTAGCTCAGGGCTGATCTTCCTCACACACACACACAAAAGTATTTGTTGACTGAGTGAATTAAGAAGCCATTAAAGATGATGATTTAGATGACAGAGTAGCAACCAGAAAAATGTTTCTGAAGACAAAAGGCAGACGAGGTATAAAAAAGGTATAATACTGTTCACAACTAAAGGTTACCACTTAAAAGACATCTCAGGTTGTATTAACAAATAAAACTCAACTAAAAGTTGCGTATAAAAAATAAACCTAAAGCAAAATGATACAAAATGTATATTAAGTGTATTAGTCAGCTCAGGCTGCCATAAGAAAATACCATGCACTGCGTGGCCTAAACAATAGAAGTTTATTTCTCATCATTCTAGAGGCTAGATAGTCCAAGATCAAGGTGTGGCCAATTTGGTGTTTGTTGAGGGCTTGCGTCCTGGCTTGTAGATGATCGCCTTCTCCCTGTGTCCTCATGTGGGCTTTCTTTGGTGCTTGTGCAGAGGGAGAGATCTCTCTCTCTCATAAAGCTGCCCATCTTCTCAGATTTGGACCCCACCTTTATGACCTCACTTAATTGTAATTACCTCCTCAAAACCCTATCTCCAAATACAAGCACATTGGGAGTTAGAGCTTCAACATATGAATTTTGGGGGGACACAATTCAGTCCATAGCGTTAAGGAAAGATATATAAACTAGAACAAAATAATCCATTTCAGGGGAAAAAAAGATTGAAACAACCTAACTGCCAATAAACAAAACTATTCTTTTCTGCACAAAGACTGGAAAAAAAAACAAAAAAAGCAGGGTCCAACTAAGGAAGAGAGAAACCCAAACAGAATTTCATGCAAAATAGAAAAACATTTGTTGGTAATACATGAATATGTGATAAAAATTTTTTTGGATGTGAGCTTGAAAAGGTACAAAGTGGTACACAGATTTGCAGAACTTTTTCAAGAGAGTACCCTGGGTTGGGGGTGGGGGGGAATCTGAAGACCATTGTACTAAAGGACTACATGGCAGTCTCAGTTTAAGCTTCGTGTTGGGGGGCAGAGGGGTGAAGGGTCAGTTTCTGAAGATCTTGAATAATTCTGTACTACTCCTTACAGAGATTGGTGGGCATTCTGATTTTGATTTACAGCCAGATTAGCTCTGGAATGTAGCAATAACATCAACATAGTTTATATTCTATACACCGGCCATTTTAAATTGTATAATTCTAGATAAAATATTAATTTGGGAGAGTTTGCATTACCTTAAATCTTAAACGTTGTACATGACGTGAAAACTTACCAGTATTATTCAATTGTGATGTTTGAATTTTACGTAATTTAACCCACATCATGTGACAACACTCTTTTCCCTCAACTCAAATATGTGGTCTGTTCTAGGCATGATGTCCTCTTTGGATGTGAAGTGTGAGTCAAAAAACAGTAAACTACTTCTTAGTCTTAGCCAGGTGAGGTAGATCCTGTCAAAAGGGGTGCTCAGATTTGAACAGGTTTGTCAAATTTCAGGCTCTTTCTACCTACCTCTAAAGTGTCTCTGGGGGAAAAAAATATCAGGGCTTTTCCATGTTGTTCAGTGACATTAATTTGGATAGGAAGAGTAACAATTCACTTAATTTTCTTAATGTATATATTTTTAAGATATTCTAATTTCGGAGGGGAGGAACGTCTAGAAACTCCTTCTGCTAAGAAATTAACAGATATAGGAATTAGAAGAATCTTCTCTTCAGAGCATGACATTTTCCGGGAAAGTGTAAGGAAGTTTTTTCAAGAAGAAGTGATTCCTTATCACACAGAGTAAGTGGCACATTTTCCTTTAAAGTACACTAGGGGTACCGTAAGGGCCATTTTCTAGAATGCTATGTGTTCTGCAGAAAAGATACTGTGTTTAGTGCTTTATAAATCTTTTTATTGCTCTTCAGTATAATACTGTAATATTATGGGACTCCTATGCTAGTTCAAAGCTTTATAAGTGAATTTTAAAATATACAATTCAAAAAAAAGAAGGAGGGCGTCCGACCCGGTGGTGTAGTGGTTAAGTTTTTGGGCTCCACTTCGGTGGCCCTGGGTTTTCAGGTTCGGATCCTGTGGACCTACGCACTGCTTATCAAGCCCTGCTGTGGCAGGCGTCCCACATATAAAAATAGAGGAAGATGGGCACAGATGTTAGCTCAGGGCCCATCTTCCTCTTGTTACTGAGGAAGATTGGCAATGGAGGTTAGTTCTGGGCTAATCTTCCTCACAAAAAAAAAAAAAAAAAAAAAGGAGGTCAAAAGGCACAAACTTCCAGTTATAAAATAGATAGTTTCTGGGGATGCAGTGTACAGCATGGCGACTACGGTTAGTAATACTGTATTGATATTTGAACATTGCTAAGACAGTAGATCTTAGTCCTCATCACAAGAAAAAAAAATTTTGTAACTGTGTATGGGGAAGGATGTTAACTAGACTTGTGGTGCTCATTTCGCATTATATACAAATATTGAATCATTATGTTGCACACCTGAAGCTAATATAATTTTATGTGTCAATTATACCTCAATTAAAAAAATCAAAATTTGAAAATTTGCAACTCAGTCTAAGAGTAGTATTTTTGAAAGCTCTGGTTAAGTAGCCACAAAATATTAGTCAATTTCATATTCTTTCTTTTTCTGCTTTATGAATGAATTGAAATACATAAAAGCTCAAAAGGCCAGCATAATGCAAATCTTGGTAGACAATTGGCAACCTCAATGTATTTTTATTACTGGATGAGATGCTTATTGATTAACTAATTAATTACTAATTACATACTTATTGACCAAAAACCTGTCATTTCTATTAAAATAGGGTTTTGCTATGTTTCCAAAATTTACTCAGTGCCAATACTTTACTACAATTAGAATTGTTTTTAAAAATTATTTAAAAATAGCTTTCATTAAGTTTTTACTAATACTTTCTTGATAAGAATGACCAAAACTAGCTAAACTCTGATGCTGTACGTAACTAATCTTTGGTAAAAGCAGCTAGCTTCTTAAAGACAAAAGAAATGTAGTGTACTTCACTCTAGGAGAATCTTTTTTGTTTATTTCTTTACTGACTTTAAATTTTATTCCAGAAAAATTGTTGGTGAGGACTTGAAGTAAAAATGATAGAAGTTGACAAATTTGACGTTGATAATAAAATATTTCCAAAGCTACTTTAGGCAGTACACAAAACAAACCAAAGCAACACACCATAATCAAACTCTTTCTTCTAAAATTTTTTGAGGTATCGGTATTTACCTTTAATCAGTATCTTCAAATACCCCATATCTTACTAACTATATCCAAATACCACTTAAAAAATAAAACACAAATAAAAATTCTCAGATTCTTTAACTGTTTCCAGCTAGCCATCTCTTTCCTCATTCTCATTTTTAAAGAAAAGCAGAGGTTGTACAAAGCTACCCAAATATCTAATCTCTTCAGAAGTATCTACGCTGCAAGACACTTCTGCTCAGTCTGTGGTTTCTACTTAAACTGTGATAAGGTTGCCTATTCTTGTCAGCTTACATATATGCTCGTCCCATAAGTTCAGCACTCCTAAGGAAATATGCAGAGGGCACTTGCCTTTACAGGACAGGTTGGGCAAATCCCCATGACCACATGGCAGAACTACACTTGCACCCTAAGAGTACCAGCTGAGGGAAACTATACCCGTGAATATCAGTGGATGCAATTTGCAGGTTCAGTAAATAGTCAAGAGTAGGGGCGGGGAAAGAAAGTGGCAAATATGAGAAAGTAAGGAAGAGAACAGGAAGGAGGAGAAATGGTAAAAGAATCAGATGCAGATAGGAGGGTGTGGTAATTGTCAACAACAATTACCTTAAATTAAGGGAGCATTCCTGCACAAAATCATTCATAAATTCAAATTGTCACCATTTAAATAATATGAGAGAAAGTTTTTCTAATTTTAAATTGTTTGCTATTTGCAGATGGGAGAAAGCTGGAGAAGTGAGTAGGGAGCTTTGGGAAAAAGCTGGGAAACAAGGACTGCTCGGTGTCAACATTGCAGAGCATCATGGAGGCATCGGTGGGGACTTGTACTCGGCCGCTGTTGTTTGGGAGGAGCAGTAAGTATGGGGACATTTGGAGTTGAGTCTTGTTTGTAAGCACACTGCTCACTTTTCTGAAATGATGAGAAAAAGTTTTCTAATCTTCATATAAGATTGAAAATTCAGTGTAAAACATGAAATATTATACCACCCAAGTACTCTTGCACATTTTTTGAATGTGGGAAGATAGGACAATCCCTTTTTAAGTTGTTAAAATGGGTGCTGTTGAAAATTAAGGAGATAGCTTCATTTCTAATTGACCCATTTGGTTAATTTTCCTCTTTTAGAAAGATATTTGAAAGAGAACAGAAGAGTGGAAAAATATTACCACTGAACATACTGAAAGTTTTATATATGAGAACAAATAAAGATTTGAACCAATTCATCAAAAAAAAAGCAAAGAGGTTTTTTAGATGAAAAAAGTTCATCTTTACTACCAATCAAATGCAAATTAAATTAACCTGGAGGTATCATTTTGAGTATCTACAAATGATAATGAAAATGAAAAATCATAATACCCAGTGCTGACAAGGTTGCTGTGAAAATGACATACTCATATACTATTGGTGGCATTTAAATTAGAGCAGTAAATGCTTTGAGGATTAAAAATATGGATACATATAAAAAGTAAAAATATTTCTGCTCTTTGATCTAGGATGCCACTTTGGGGAATTTCTCTTAAGAAAATAATTTATTAGAAAAAATAGCAGCTATGTACAGTAATCATTGTCATGTTAGCTCATAATCCCCCAGATTTGGAAGCAATCTAAATGTCTGACAGTGGGAGAATGAATAAGTAAATTATAGTACCTAAGCAATTTGTAATATTTTGCAGCTATTTAAGAATATTATTGTGACAACTGTGATTGAAAAAATAGGATTTTTATCATGTATAATTTAAGAAGAAAACAGCTAAGTACAAAATCTACACCATGACTGCAGCTATATTAGAATATATCCTATGGCAAAGGTAATTTGCCAGGATGAAAATAGTTGCTGTGTTAGGGTGATATAGTTGTAGGTGATTAATATTTTTAAAAGTTTTGTCTTTTAATTCACTAAATAAGTGTTCATTGAGCTTTGTTAGAGTACTAGTACTATGTTAGAGCCATAAATTAAAAGAATAGTAAAAACAGAGAAAACCTTCAGGAACTTCTTAGGTTTCAGGGAGAAACAGGTTGTTACCGCACGATGTGAAAAGAGCTTTAATAGTTTGTTGTTTTTTAATTGAAAATCAAAGAAACTAAAAACAGAACAAAGCTATTTTGTGCTTTAAATTTTCTTCTTTTTTCTTTCTAAGAGCATATTCAAATTGTACAGGCCCAGGTTTTAGTCTTCATTCAAATATTGTCATGCCCTATATTGCAAACTATGGCTCAGAAGAACAGATTCAGCACTTCATCCCCCAGATGACAGCCGGGAAATGTATTGGTGCCATAGCAATGACAGAGCCGGGGGCCGGAAGGTAACTCAGTGTTCGACTGGTTTTGAAGTCTTGGAAGCAGTGCTCTAACAGCAAGTATTTTCTCAGTATTTGCTTTATACAAAACTCTGAGTGATATGCTAGGAAGAATACCAAGATGAAAATAGCATAATTCACCACCTCAAGTAACTTCAAACTCCAGTAAGAAAATAAGGCCTTATCGTAGACAAATAACAGTAGAGCAGATTGTAATATCTGCTGTCTTTGAGATGTTAACAGTGTAACTAAAATGAAATGGTGGGATATGAGTTGAGTTTTGGGCATGATGAATTTTAGATGTGGTATGACATTCATATGGAAATGTCCAGCAGGCTGTTAAAAATGTGAATTTGGAACTCTGGAGACAGATTGAGCGGCAATAGGTTTTAAAAGCCATTCATATACAAGCAAGAATTGAAGCAATGAGAATGAATAAGATCATTTATTCAGTCATTTGGTGGTTACTTAGTAAGTGCCTTCAGTGTACCAGGTATACAGTGGTGAACAAAACAGTTGTGGGCTCTACTTATTGAGGAGAATGACAAGACACAAAGGAATGTATTCCTAATTATAGATTATGATGGGTACTGTGAAGGAAACAAAGTGCTATGCTAGAGACTAATGGTGCATGTGTGTTTGGTGGGGGAAGGAAAAAGCAAATTTAGACAGGAGCACTAGGGAAGGCCTCTGAAGAGTGGTTATATTTAAACTGAGACCTGATGAATGAGAAGGAACCAGTTATGCAAGTATGAGGTGAAGGGAAAGGATGAAAAGGAGACCAAGGAGGAAACCTTGGGTATCATGTGTCATTTGGAACTATACAGGGTGCAGCAACAGAGACAGAAGGACTGAGTTTGAAGGAAATCTCGACAAGTGCTCTGTCTTGAGCACGAGGGGAAGTGTGTTTGAAAAGGCGATAGGACAGTAGTGAGGAGTTCGTAATGTCAAGGCCACAGAGATGAGAATCAAGAAAAGGTCATGGCAGGCCACTGGGGATCTTTTGATTGGGACTTCAGTGGAGAGGAGGGGCAGAAGTCACTTTGGAAGGCAGTGAGATGGGTATTGAGAATACAGACTGATCCTTTTCAGAGTTGGGTGCTGAAAGGCAGTGTAAAGAGGGGCAGGAGTTGGACAGGCAAGCACGGTAAGGGAAATGGTTCAGGTAAAGAGAGCCGCACCCTACAGGCCAGTTGGGAACAGGCAGTGCAGAGGAAGAACTTGAAGGTGTAGCCGAAGCAGTAATTGAAAATCCAAGACTTGTTTCTGCAAAGATCAGGCCCTAATGTTTTAAATTTTCTTTTTTGACACTGCAATTTATTTTTAAATGTCTTAATATTCTATAGTGTCACTTGGCAATATGCTTAATTTGTATTTATCTTTCCCAGATATAAATCTGTAATTACAAGCCAATACTGATACTTAATTTTGCCAAAATAAAAGGCCTTTGTTTACTTCTTTTGCCTAAAAATGTGACCTAAAAGAAGTAGGAATTTAATCTTCTTTCTTTGCTTTTAAGAGAATTCCCTAAGATAACTGGCTGACTGCCTGATATTCTGATTGCATCATGTCAGCTCTGTGATCAGCAGGTTCCAGTTCCAACCCACTGCATGTCAGCTCTCATCTAGAGGCCACAGAATAAATGAGATCTTGATTTATCCCCAGTTTACACATACTCAGAGGCTTCATTGATTTTTGTTTATTTAAATTCTCTGTCCACATCTGTGGTTAGGTACATGTAATTAAGAAGGAAGCCGAGAATGAGGATGGAGAAAAGAGGCAGATTTTTTGGAATCTGCCTCTTTTGGAAGGTTGGTGAGAGTAGGGGAAGGATTGCAGATGAGTCTGATATTTGGAGAGACAAGCCAAGGGGCCGAGAGAGTGGAGAAAGCTGCTCGGGAAGGAGAGGATTAGGGTGTTGAGGGATTATGGTGAGAAGTGGAGAGAAAGCATGTGGGAGGGAAGAATAAAGAAGATGGGACTTCAGAGGTGGCGTGGCCCCTCCTGTGCTCTTGCTGTGGTCTGGCCTTCGCAGAAAGAGGTTGAGCTCGCTGGAGCCAGGGCTTTGCTGGCCCTCCCCTGCCACACACACAGGAGACCCTGTTATGTACACTTATGCACGTTTGTATGATCCCAGAACATTTCATATGCTTTCATGCTGGTTTTCTTATTTGGCCATCCCAATAACCAGTAGGAAATAGAGAGGTATTGTGAGCCCTATGTAAGGAGAAAACAGAAAATGAGAAATGAAATATTTTAACCGAGCTCATAGAGCGGATTGATGTTCTGACACCAGCTGTATGATCGTGGGCCCAATCTCTGAGCCTCAATGTCTGTATCAGTGAGATCAAGAAAATGACACTTATGGGGCCGGCCCTGTGGTGTAGTGGTTAAGTTCGCACGCTCCACTTCGGCAGTCCAGGGTTCGTGGGTTTGGACCGACACACTGCTCATCAAGCCATGTTGTGGTGTCCCATATAAAGTAGAGGAAGATGATCACGGATGTTAGCTCAGGACAAGTCTTCCTCAGCAAAAAGAGGAGGATTGGCAGATGTTAGCCCGGGGCCGATCTTCCTCAAAAAAAAAGGAAAAGGACACTTACTTAATGGGATTATTGTAACGGTCTGAATTCTTGGCAATAATAAGTGATATATTTTATATATATATCATTTCCTGTGGAAGCTA